CCTGGCCACAGAAGATTTCGTCCGTCATCCTCTGGAATTCGTCAGATGCAGTTAGGATTCCGAAAGGCATTTTCAAAAATCGGAATCGGCCCCACGGGGTTGCAAATGTGCATATCAATGAGCTCTTGTGGTCTAGAGATAGTTGCCAAAATCCCTCATCCGCATCTAGAGCCGTGAAGAACTTCGCGCCGGCGAGTTTCGCTTGGATTTGCTCCAAGCGCTTCATGGGGTGGGAGTTTCTCCTCAGAGCTCGATTAAGGTGAATCGGATACCAAACAAATTCGTAGCTTACCATTTTGCTTCATCACTGGCACTATATTGCTAACGAATTCGGTTGGTGTTTACACCGCCGCAATGACGCCTTTCATGAGCATGCGGTCCAGTTCGTTCTTGACAGCTTCTTCCTGTGCTTGCGGTATAGGTCTGTACGGGGTTTGCAACCGCGTGTACGAATCCTTCAGCTGTAGATGACATTGAACCCCTTGATGTCGCCTTCCCATTGAAGACATTCGGGAACTCGTCAATCCAACTCTTATCGCTCTGCGTCTTGATTTCTGCAAGTCTTGCAATCATCCCTAAAGACTGGCACGCATCGCCGCTGAGGGTTGAGGCGAAAGGAGCGTCGACAATGAAGAATTTTTCACTTGCTGAGCGGTCACGGAAGCGAACCGTCAAGTCCACTACACTTTCGGATGGATAATCATCCCCAAAATACGATACCAATCGTGTTCTCGTCCCCCGTGGTTTTGGGTTGCTGTTCTATCCCATCATCGAGTCGAATAGAAACTTTCGGGATAACACATACCTCCGCACCCGTGTCAATTTTGACCACAACGTTCACCTCACCGAGTTGTACAGTTTCCTCCCAACGGCCCCTGGGTTGTGGTCCTTTTCCTCCGTTGTCGATTTTGCAAATTGTTTTCAGCCGAGGAGTCGACTCTAGCCCACGACTGCCTATGCTGATGGCATTGATTTCGAATCGCTCCTCCGATGATTCTTCATCGGTCCAGTTTTCGTCTTGCTGTATCATATTCACTCGTCTCTGAAAGCTGCGTGGTCTCGCCCGACCGCTCCAATTGTTGTTCTGCTTACGCTGTCCGTATCTCAATGGTCTCGCGCTGTTTCTGCAGCAGCGGGCCAGATGACTTTCACCATTGCACAGGTAGCATCTCATTTTGCTCGCCCAGCACTCATTTCCTTCGTGATTGGTCGCAAATTTCTGGCACGGGGCTCGATCTCTTCTGTTGTTTTCGTTGATTCCCGCCACAGTCTTGGCTTCGTGAGAGCCCATGCGATACCCTCGTCCCGACTTATGAGGGTTTTAAAATGACATCGGAAATTTCGAAAATAAGCGATATCGAGACGGCTGTAACTCCCTCAAAACGTATTCAAATGTCAAAAGTGACATGCTCATTGGAACGTCCATCCAATTCTCTACAATTTCAAAAAAAAAACGTCCGATTCGGTAGATTTTCTGAAAAGTTACGGACCTCCAAAAAAAGAAGAAGAAGTTCTTAGGTGGCTCTATTATACGGTACGCAGGCACGGCATGATACGGTATGCAGGCACGGCATTCAAAATCGCAGATCATCAGTGCCTCATGATTTCAAAGAAGACGAGAGATGAAATCCGCTTCCGATAGAGAGGGTTTCTGGTGAATGATTCCTGGAACTCTGAAGCTTCAAAAAAATGCTACTTGCTCATCCGCACCGCTCTTAGCTCAATCTCCAGTCTCCGGGGTGCTTAGAATCGCTGATGGCATAGGGCGAGGATCCGTGGTTCACATTGAGGGCGTCGGGATAGGGACGGGATGATTTAGGATATTTATGAGCTTACAATTCCACCTCGGTCATGATCGCCCGCCTCATGGACCATGACCATGACGTGTGATGCTTTCGCAGAGATCGCGCGCAGGCATTCAGACCTGCGTCTGAATTTTCACAAGAACTTCCGAAAACACGGAAGGAGTCCGTCGGAAACTGGCCGGCTATTCCTACCACTGTCCCGCGAGAGCTATTTCCTGTCATACACTATCGACAACATCGAAAACTTCCCTCATGAACAAGCTCTAAAATGCTCGTTTTATTAGCTTGAGAATAATCGCTCACAGATCGCTCGGATCCTTCTGCTCCGATAGATGATAGAACCGGACTCGCATACGAGGACTGCCATCTTTCGATCATCCGAGCTTCTCTCATCTGGCGTAGGATTTCGCTCAGAGCTTCCCTCTCCATCGCTGACAATCGGTACGGCTTGCATCGCACGGGATGACTATCGGTGACTTCTTCTATCTCGAACTCCATCAATTCTGTTCTACCGAGCTCCTTCATGTATTTCGCGATTACGCTCCGCTACCGATTCAATAATTCCAGCAACTGGTGTCGATACGCCTGCGGAACGTTCTCCCCTATCGTGATGTCGGAGAGCGTGACCTCCAGCGGCTCATCTGAAGCGCCCACCTCGATGCGGTTCACCTTATACTCGAAGACGCTCCGTTCTCCCATCTGAGTTCCTCTTGCCACGACGGATCCCGCTCTGATGGGGACCTCTTCCTGACCAACGTTCGTCACCGGAATCACTAACTTCCCCTCTTGCATTTGGCAAACCGCCGCTTCATTCGGTCCATCCTCCAAAACGACTAATTCATTTTCTTTTTCTCCGGTCTGAGCTTCGATGAGTGCAATCGATCGCGGCTGTAACTTCACCTCTCCGGTGGCCTTCAAGAAAGTTGGATCCTCGCTTCCTTTTTCGGAGATAATTTGGAGATCTCGCTCAATGCCCCCTTCTCAGAATCCATGACTGACCCTCGCAGTAGACCGTTACCATTCCCCTATCCAGGAAATCCTTTCCCAAAAGAATCTCAACCATCGGCATAGCGCTTCTCGGAAGGATTGTCAATCGGACATCCTCAACCGTCATGTCGTCTGATCTCAGTTCAATGTTCCGCACTGTGGCCTGTTCGACAGATAGGCCTCCTCTCCTCAGTAACAAAAACATTGTACGACGACCTCGTACGATGTTCATCATCGACGGTCGCGGCCAAATGGGGCGCTCCGAAGAATCGTACACAAGAATGCTGAGCCTGTTGAAAAATGCGTGGCCCGCTCTGAGTCCTTCCAGCATCGTCATGGACCAACAAGTATGCCGAAGCGACCCACCGCCGACTGCAAACCGAGTCCGGGGTGCAGCATCCGTCAGTGTGGAAGTTTGTTGAGGGACTCAAAAAAGTTCGGAAAGGTCGCGACTCCCAAGTTGAAGCATTCGTAGCCGGCCATCCGGCTCCGAGGAAGAGAAGTAAATACGTGGCGGCCGATGAGAACATTCATACGCTCCTCTAGCTCCTTCTTCACGGTGTGATATACCGATACGGTTATCGGTATAAGTTAGGTAATTGCAGAGAATAAACTCTATCAAGGCACTTCATGATGTCCCGATTTCTCCTCCAAGAGGATGCCATTGGAATCGAGCTTTCTGCCCAGTCGGTTTTTGCTCGAATGGTATTTGCCCAGTTCATATTTGCCCGGATTGTTTTCGCCCAGTTGGATTTTACCCAGCTGGTTTTTGCCCAGTTGGACCTTGCCCAATTGGTTCATTTGCCCAGTTGGTTTTTCCCAGTTGGTCGATTTGCCCAGATGGTTGTCGCCCAGTTGTCCTGGACCGTATCCAATGAGCTGTATGACGAGTCGGATTCCACTTGAAGGCTGTGGTTGGATCTAGCTCGGCGGGATCAAGACTCGATTCTTCAAGCGGATCCACCTGCGACCAAACCAGATGCGATCCGTCCTCGGACTGGACTGATGCGAGCTCGTCACAGGCTTCCAGTCAGAGATCACAGGTGTCAACATCAGCTGGCGATCTTGCTCTCCGACTGACGAGTGAGAGACAGCACGGGTCATTTCTCCGACTCTGCTGATGTGGTTCTGCGCAAAAGTGCCGTACGTATCGGATGTTGGGACGGTGAGATCCGAGCGATCGTTTCCTTTGGGGATCAGACTGCGATGTCTGCAGGAGGGAATCTAGCCGAAAGGAATCCTTGCCACAAGGTGAGTTGACGAATGAGGCTGCGAGCTGTGGAGTTCACACGGAGATTCGAGTTGGAGAACCAAAGTTCTCGTTCCCTTTCAAGGAGAGCGAGCTGAGTCTGGAGTGCTTGTTTCGCAACAGTGACGATCGGGACAAATGCCATGTCTACTTCGAGAACTATAAAGTTTGCAAGAAATTTTGGGTGAGACGAGCATCGGCAGCGATTGGCGGAATCGCTCATCCGATAGAATGATCCCGAATACGATAGCTTTCCTCCCGCAGGATCACGTTCGGAAGGATCGGATGAGGAAGGGGTTAAATCCAGCTCTACCGCCCCTAGCTGAGCGAGAAGCGGTGAAGAAGGAATATCTGACGAGGCCGGGGCGATGATCAGCGGAACGATGATTTGCTTCGAGCTCTGCACGGAGCCCGTGTCAGATGAATGCAGAACTTTGTTTCTTGAAGGAGATGATGACGGAAAGAACAGGTTCAAGGACATTCGACTCTAATGATCGCCGGTGAAATCCGCGAGGTTCATTCGATGGGCTCCCGCCGCACAAAGTCTGTACCTACTCGAGTCCTGCTGATTTTAGATTTCGTAATCGTCCCGCGGAGCCTCGCTCCAGGCTCGATCTTCAAGTCCTGTAGATACGGGAATCTCGTCGAATAAAAGCCTTACTCTCGTCCCCTTGTCTTCTGTGATATGGTGATGAAAAGGAACGAGCGGAAATACAAAGTTCCCCGGAGCAGCGAGTCGGGTCGGGTTCCGAAAATGCGACGATTGTTAGAGACCCGTGTCGGGAACTCCTGAATATGTGGGATCGGTGGGCTCATTGCTCGTGGAACCCACTATTGATGATATCCTGGGACCGAAAGACTGATGCGATGTGGAGCTCATGCCTCATGCTCTGACGCGGGCAGTTCGGGGGTAGAGGTCTGAAGCTCGTGAACCTACGGTCCAGAATATATGTTCTACTCCTCAGTCAGTCGATTTCATGCTCGATCATCGTAGTGCATTCAATGCTCTCGGTCCTCAAAGCTCATAAGGGAGGAGGCTAACACTGCTTATTTCGTGCGTCTCTTGGCGCCGGCGGGTAAGACTCCGCGCACACGGGCTCCGTAGTAGCAGTCCAACTTGTCCATGCTTTAGTGACTAGCCGACGGAGTACGGTTGCCAATGTACACATCGGTAGCAGGCTCTCCGACAGAGTCACTGAATCAAATGCTGGACTCTCTCATTCTGGGAGCTCTTAGTACATCGATGGATGCGCGCATAAATGTGTTCCGCTACCGGGAGCGCTGATCGATCATGAGCTCACGCGGAAGCTCTCCGTGAGCAATGAACGTTCCGTACCGAGAACCGACCAAGAGAGCCTACGGTAGGTTGAGGATCTTATCGGATATGAGCGGCAGTCTGTAGATTCCAGATCAGAGCTGGACACCATGGGAAATAAAATATCCCCAATGAGCTTTCTTTGAGCGGATTCGGGGGGAAAATCCTTACGAGCGCTGCGCCGTCGTGTAGAAGAGCGGGTCCTGATGCTTGATTCACTCTCAGCTCTTCGAGATCTATATGACAAGGAGGGAGAAATCCTCGCGCCCGCTATGCTTCGAAGAAAATTTGCGTCGTTGTCTTCGACTGAAATGGGGAGGAAACTACGTCCTATCCGGCAGCTCTGACGGATCGGTTATCTCGAATTGGCGACCAGAAATCGGCTGATGACGCTGAGGAGAGTCCGCCCTCAATCGGGTACGATATGGCAATATTATTCCGGAGAGTCCTGCTGCTGCTCTTGGGAGCTTACATATGCTTCACGTGCTATTCCGGCTACCTCCTCTTTACCCGGGAAGATCGGAATCTCAGGAGTATACCAAATCGTGAGTACTTCAATAGTGTCGCGAGCCTCACCGGCCACATTGAAATCTTCGGAGAAACCCATTCTGGAGTTCACGGTGATATCTTGTATGCTCCTACGATACATGACGACGAGTTCCTTTCAGAGTCCGCATCGAGTTATCTAGACAAGGCTAATCTTCGATCTACGGTGGATCGTTCCGATGATGATTGGAATCCCTGGGGTGAGGATTTCGAGCCGGAGCGCGTGAACGCCGCGAGAGGTGATCCCGCTCACACTTCGTACTCTCGTCAAGTCGAAGATAACCGTCCGGCAAAATACACGGTGGAAATCTGGGGGAAAGCTGCGATTGGTGAGTATCTTGTAGGTGATGTATGCCCCCATCTGCTCGGGAAAGCTCTCGAACTATGCTGTCATTCATGATAATTGCTGATCCAAGGCAACTATCTGTGGGAGCATATATTCGCGGCTCGTCTGGAGACGCGAGAGGATGGAGCACTGCGATCCGGGTCCAAGAAGATTGGAAATATTCGCTTCAAGTATCGCACCGGACCGGGAATCATCCCACAGACCGCACCGAGTGACGTGAGTAATCCTGGAGACCGATGCACGGGCGGTCTGCTCCTATGCGTCGGCTTAGTCACTCACATACGCTTGAAATCAGGTGGAATATCTCATCCTGGTGCTGAATGGGAGGAGCAAAGACAAGATCTCTTTCGCTCGATCCTGGTTGGACTATCTTGACAATTATCCTCGTCTTCAACATACGATCGTAATTCTCCTCGGCGATGAACAATGTCGGAATGGTTGGCTTACACGTTACATGCGATCGAAAGGCAAGAGCTCGTATTCGTTCAAAAAGATTGATATCGCGCACGTACGATCGGGCTCCGATATTAGCTTTCCGATGTACACCCGAATCAGGAGACTTGGCTGCAGTGGGCACATCAAAACGAATATGATATGTACTTTCAGGTGGCAAAATTGATGCGGCTTTCATCGTTTACGACACCGGTCTAGTTGATGATCACGAAATCTTTCAGTGGCCGCTCGGTGAGTTTGATTCAGTGAATCCCACGATACAGATTTAGTCCAGAGATCGGGGCGCCCGTTGGCATACTGAGAGGGAACTCAACGCAGGTGTCGCAACCTACCGCGGATTCGGTCCTCTGGACTCGCATAAGTTGGATATCGAGAGTTCGAGGCCTTACAAATGCAACTTCCTCGGAACCGTTTATCCCAAATCTTCTCGGAAAGTTCTCATGGATATTATTTCAAGACAGAACGGATTGAATAAGGTAGGATCTTGATCGATGAAACCTTCTGCGCGGATTCTGTCCCCTAGCTTCCATTTCGAGGGAGATTCGAATGGTGATGATAGGTATCACTGAATCTAGTGGATCTCCGTGTTCCACAGGCTTGTTTCACGAAGCCGAGAGAAGAATGGCTGCCGAACGAGACGAGCCAGAGCCTCCAAATGTACCAATACGCCCTCTCGCTGTCGGATTTGACCCTGAATCCTGTGGGAATGAACACCGAATGTTATCGAATCTACGAAGCAATGGCGTACGGATCCGTGCCGGTAGTGGAGGACAAAACGACCCCGGGATTGTGTCAGGTAACATTCAGTTATTTGAAATTCCCAGTCTTGTCCTCATAGAGAAAGCGATTTAATTGCTTCATCGAGGCAAGGTGGCTTCATCTGGCGCTCTCGCGGGAGATAAATCATTCCTCCCACCCCAGAATCCAGCTTTACGGCTGTTGAAGAAACACAAGGCGCCCTTCATCTATGTCAAGAACTGGATCACGGATTTCCCGCGAATTTTGGGCCAGGAAGCGGCTCTGAGCTTGAAGGAGAAAATTGAACGCAGAGTCGCACTTGTCGAGTGGTATGAGGGATTCAAACTCGATATGCGCAAACTGCTCATAGATATAGCCAAGCGGAAATTCGGCTTGACGGATTGACCTTCAGTAAGTTCTAGATAACTGATCTAGTATCCTCGACCTAGCGGATGCTGTTTCCGGTAGTGAAGAAGGCACGCTCGAGAGTCTTTCAATTCCTCATTTTCTCAATCGACATCCGCTGATAGCATTCGAGCTATCCACCGTAGGCAAGGGTCTCATCGGGTCGAGGGATCCCAGCGGGAGGCGCTAAGCTGTTGTCTCTGACGAGAGTACATCGAGTACTGTTGGAGAGAATCTCCGAACATCACCCTCCGGATGATGAAGGTTTCTAATTCCAATCGAGACAGGCCAGTCTCAGCTGAACAGTCTACCTTACTCACAATCATACCGCCACGTCTTTCAATGAGGAGCTCGAAGCTCTTTACGATCTTTCATATTTGTATAGATCTTCGGTGATCCGACGGGGGCCAGCAGACCGCGGTTCGATCGGAATTATACTAATTATTATGTTTGATGATGATACATCTCTTCTCATGCACTTCCAAGTTTGAGTGAGTAGTGTTTTGATAGCCTCCGCGAGCTCCCCCCTAAAGATTTCGCGAGCGACTTGCTCGGCATGATCTCTAATTAGCCATGGAGTTTCCTAGGAATATGGTCGAGTATAGACTCTATCTCTTGCCAGAATCCCGTGAGATGTCTCCAAGAGAGAACGGGGAAACTTAAGTCAATGAATGAATCAGTCAGTCAATCAATGACAAATAAAGATATGCCGAATCTAGGATTATATTAGTAAAGTTTTTATTTCTTGCTGAAGACCGGGAAAATATCTCTTCATCGATCGCGATTCCTATATTCCGAAAGATAACTCAGGAAACCCTCGGAAGCCCTTATATCTTCATCCCCCTGAAGTCTCTTCTCTTCGTGAAGAGTGTTCCTTAGAGCTCGGAATCTCATACGAACCTTCTAGGTAAGGTCTATTTACACATGTTTTATACATGCTGACATCTACTCTAACAACCCCGAAGAAGACTCCCGCTTACAATTTCAGAATGGGCCTTGGACACTGGCACTTGGAACAGAAATGATCAGGATTAGCGGGAACGCTGCAGGCGATAAATCGCATTGTATCCAGAGAATGATCGCTCATTCAAACAATCCAAACCCAACATACTGCTGTACACGATCGAACGCGCAGTCTCCATCACAATCAGAGACCGCGCGAAGAGTATGCTGGTATCGAGAGGAATTTCCTCCAAAGAGAACGGATACATTTTAGAACCATGCCGGAAGAGACTCTGGAAGAGCTGCATCACCCGAAGGGATGTGTAACGTCGACAAACGCCTCAGCATCGGGATCATTTCGGATTTTCAGGCAGCATCGGATTTTTAGGTGTGTCCTCCGTGACTCTGATGGGCTCCAGCGAGAGCGTCGGCGTAACTAAACATCCGGCGAACGAAAATTCAGGATTTGCTTGATGATCATACGCACTCGCATGATACGGAATTGCAGTTGAGAGAGCCGAAGAATAAACAGTTCCCTATGCCAGAATAACAAATGACCAGAACTGCCGTGACGAAAATAAACGAGCAGATGATGCAAGGTTTCCTATCCAGGAAGAGTCCAGCAAGGTAGAGCATCAAGAGAACCACCTGGAAGGATTCATTTTCTCCCATTATTCATGCGTTCGGAACGATGTGCGAGGATCGAGCATGAAAGTTTCTTTCGCTCTGAGGCTAGATGCTACTTGTTAATATCCCGAGCTTCGACGCGGAAAAATATTCCCCTAAGGGAAGCTCCACCGCGACACGTTGAAGGAGACGTCTAGTCCGGGAAATTTTGATCGGAAAGTTCCGAGAGAAATGCCTTCGAGAATTCGCGCAAAGGTGAGGAAGATGTCTGCTCTGGGATGGGTAATTTTCGAGAGGATTTAACTCCGATATCTACGCCCTGTGCTTCTGCGATATGAGGAGATAGGAGTCATGTCGGGATATACGTAAGAAACCTCGGACCGAAGAACGGAATGTATCCATAATCCCACCTGGTTCTGCAGCAAGATGATGTTCGTCGGTTTGGGAATGAAAAGGACCGGAATCAGCCATTGTAGGCAATACATGATCGCGCGTAGCGGCTGTCGATTCAGCTATTCACTTCCGACGACAACTTGAATGAGTTGAGAGCCGATGGGTTTGGCGACCGTACGCGTGTATCAAGCTTGTGATAGTCTGATCGTCTTTCGAAGCGTCCATCTGGGCAATTCGTATCCGCGGAAGTGCATGCGAGTCATATCCCGATCGAAACCGGAGCGAGCTGCTTCTCGTTGCGAGCTGCGTATCAAGCGAGGTTAGGAGAAGGCGCGACTTCAGGGGTACTGCACCTCTGGGGAATCTTCAATTCCCGAAGATGCGGAGCTTCAAGGCCCGGAGAAGGGTACAGCACAGATATCGAAATCGCTGCGCAGCAAGCATTGAGATAGGGGGAGTGTCTCCTGACAGCGGCGATGAGTGTAGGTTCACCACCGCGATTCTCCGAGTAATAAATACGAAAGCACCATCGATGATCCTTCTCAAAGACTCAGTGAAGAAAACATCGTACGACGACGTCGTCGTCGGACCCTCACGATGATTACAAACCACACAAACAACAGTCAGAGCCGCAGCGTCTGCAGTCTACGGCGCTCCTCCCGTTTTTTAAAAGAACTCCCTGTCGTCGCCTGCAGACGGCGATCAGCCCAAGCTTCCATCCGAAAAAGATGGCGTCACGTTCACAAGGGAAGGACTCTGTCGACGCTAGAGGCTCGGCATAACAGCTGAATCATGAAACTAAATCGATATTCGGATATCCGATCGATTTTCTCAGAAACCGGATAGCTTCACGGATGTTTCAGGCCCTCCCTGATCTTTGCCGCCAATCCATTTCGAAATTGTGACGCAGTCAGACTCGAGCGAGCCCAGGCTTCCTTTCCTAAACGATTGCCCGCGCGACATAATTTCAACATCAATGATAACCACGGAGATCCGAACCGACTCAGGCTGAGTCTGAGGTTCCAGACTCACCTTCGGATATTTTTGAGAAACTCTCCGACGAGTTTTCGGGGGGGTGGCGTAATCGCTGGGGTGTGCAGCCGTCAAATCGAACTTCCTGTCGCATAGCTCCCTGGTTATGGGCGCTCCACCAACGACTGACATGAGACGTGAGATCCTGAAGTGCGCAGACGATACCCATATCCAAAAAGTTCTGTTCCGACGGGGGAACTAAAGTGTGATGATACATATGACCTGTGACTGTGTCATATGATTCTATTCCAACGTCGTCACATATGTCATGACGTCGTGTCGTACGATTGTAACATATCATAAGACTGTATGATGTAGCAGTATCTTAGTCAGCGAAATCGAATTCGATCCGATTGCTCGAACATCCGAAGTTGATGCTTGGGTCCTTAGTCGGGGCTAAGCGCTAGCTACGCGCCACAGTCCGCGCGGGCCTAGAGCACAGTTCCCAAGCGATAGACACAGTACCGAGCAAGCTGTGCGGGAGTCGAGGTCGATCCCGAAGTCCTCGAGCGATCATTTGCCGGTATTCGTTTTGCGCGCAACGGCATTGAGAGCTGTTCGACTTTGTCCGTGTCCGTACCCCTCGGACCCAGACAAGCGGGCTTCCGCCTCCGGGCTCCACGCAGCCGCTCGGGAAGTGACACGTCTACGCCGCCTCGCGCGCCGAGAAAAGACTGCTCGGCACTATTCTAACGATAAGTCGTAAACGATTCTTGAATGACGTTCAAACCTGATCCCGTTGAGAAAACGGAATTCTCCCCATGCACCGGAATCGAGTGCTCCAGCATGGCTGCAGCAAGGAATGCCCCATCGCTAGAGTTGCGAAATGAGAGAAAAAGTTTTCCGCCGAGAGGAAGCGATTTGACCCGATTTTCCGCGGCAAATCGGGACGCAAAGCGTACTCCGGAAGAAGGACACTCCGTCCAATGATTTGCCAATTTGGCCCATTCCACAGAACACAGAATTATTCCAACTCTCCATCACTTCCCCGTTGAGCGACACTCAAGTGGTCTTCACTATGCACATACTATCCTTCGGAGTCAATTCGCTGAAGAGGGAATTCCCGATCGGCGCCGTGGCTCATGGCCATGTTGTCGAGACCTCGCTGCACAGGACGAAAAAAAAGACGCGGAAGTTCAATGTTCATTCGGGATCAGTGCTTTTATCTCCAAAATACGAGAGACCGAACTCTAAGAAGCGGACCAAAGGCCAGAGAAGGACGTGTCTTTCTATGTCGCAACTTCAACCGCTGTGCGCGGACTCTCGGTAAAGATCATCATAAGCATCAATCCTGAGCCTCATTGAGAGTTGAGAGAGATACCGCCGTGATCCTCAGGAGGATTTCCGTTCACCTACACCACCCTGCTCTGGGCATCATCGTGACCTGAGGCTCAAGGGGGCAAGATGAACTCTTCGTTCTGCAGCCAAAATACGAGCGAAGGGATGGGTCGTCGCAATCGTCGGCGTCGCAGTCGCAGACGGAGCGGGGGCGAAGATGAGCAGACGAGCCTTTCAGAAGCCCTCCTTGGCGGGCGCACCAACACAAAAGAAAATAAACAAAACAGCCCGGTCTGAGAGAGCCCAACCACAGAAAGCAGAGGGAGCCCTGCGTGCTCCTTTTTGGCGGCACTCGCGAAGAACAATCGATGAGTTAAATATTCGATTCGAACGTTCGACTTGACTCGTACAGCTAGTGATCGGGAAAGATTTTCTTCGGAAGCAGCTCTGACTGAGAGAAAACGTCCCTTGCCGGAGCACGGAGCTGCTCCTCCAAAAGTCGATTCAAAACTTACTTGATTCTTGATTCTGACGCCGGCAGAGCTTCCTCCCTTACCGAATGAAGTTCATGGGTGAGTCTCCAAGCGTTCGACTAGAAGGGTGTCTGATGTTGACATTTCTGCGTCAAAGATGGCTTAATGAGGGATCCTCCATCCGTGCAGTCCCTCTTGATCAGTGGCAGATCCAGTACTCTTTTTGATGGGGGGCGATCAATGTATTTTGGGAGAGGCGCCGCTTTATCATGCGGCTCATGGGGGAATTGAAAACTTCTGGTAGGGACAATCAGCTGATGCCACCCACCATGGAACCGCCACTGCTCTTGATGTCATCTTGTTGTTCGGCTCGCAATACCTCGGACAGTCATCTGAGATAGTCTTCGGGAGACATACCTGAAGACTGATCGGAGGGCCAAGAAAACAATTGCTGACTCTGACCGGGTATCTAGGAACCATTGAGACACGATTCTATGCCATTGCTGCGAGACCTCGTCAGTTCATGAAATTACTATCATAGCCGTTGATTTCCACCGAATCATCAACTGAGCGAAATGTAGCATACGACGCTCGACCCAGGCTCGTCGATGTATTCGTCTGAGTAATGGCTGATGATCGGGATCCGAGGCTCAAGATGAGGTGCTCATCGGAACACCAATATCTTCCAACACTACTACAGTATCTCTCCGTCTTCTAGTCTCTACAAAACAATCGAAGTTCCGAGCCCGACATGCCTTCGAAAGTGAGTAGTGCGAAGGTGCTACATGAATTCTTCTAGTCCAGAAATTCCCGAGCTCTCCTCCAGGCAACCCCAAACAGCCGCTCGGAAGGCAGCAGTGACTCGCAAAAGTCGCTTCTTGGGACGGCTTGAATCGTCCCGGGCTCAGGGCGCCCTCCGTGATCCTCCGGGATTCCTCCGTCGACAAGAGAAATCGCGACCCCGAGCTCGGGAATATCTGCTCTAAAGGGACCTCATCACCTCTGATAGCACCCTATCAATACTACCGGATGACGTGATGAAGACCCATTCTGGATCTAGTTGCAGTTCGATCAATTGGCCACATCTTGGATCGGAAAAGGGGTCGATGTCGAGTCCGTAGTGACCGACCAGATAATGCAGCAGACATACAGATTGAGTTTCGAGCACTGTGTGGCGAACTCATGCAAGTGAGTCTTCTCGTACTGATGAATCAGTGCCAGCGGGAGAGATGCTTTCCAAATCGCAGCGAAAACTCGTGCGATCAGAGTATCACCGGGCGGAATTCACTCATATACTCAACATACCCTTCAGGCGGAACTGCATCGGAAACCCTCGATGCCTCTCGGCTCTAGGCGGCGCTTCTCTGGCCAATCATGCCATGGAGAAGCTTTGCGACCAGACGGCAGTCCAGGCCGCTGCAACTCGTGATCTATCAGAACCGGTCGGATTGAGGAATCTCGGGGCAACTTGCTACTTGAATAGTATCCTGCAGGTGAAAGAATCCTGATTCTTAGCTCGATGGGATGTCCGCCCCCGCAACGAACTTCAAATTCGAGATATTCGTATTTTTTCAGGTGTGGTTCCACAACGTCAAATTTCGGGACGTCATTTTGAAGTGGAATAGGGAGCTGGACTGCGGAGAACGTTAGTTCTGTCCTCTGAGATCGGCTCGAGTTCTTCGTAGACCTAATTATATTTGAGAACCCTTCGCTGTGACTAGGGTTAGGACGAACTTCAGTTTTTCCTTTCCAGAGGGCTCCTTGGGTTTCGACTCTCCGGAAACAATCGTTGGTCACCTTCAGTTAATATTCGCACAAATGATGAAGTCGATTAAGTGAGTCCTTTTCTGATCTGCTGCTCGAACGCGCTCCCCCCTAGCGACAGGCATTTTTCGGGCGAATGAACAATTATTCCCGCAGGAGGAGCGTTGATCCGACACCATTGATCGAAGTCCTGGGCTTGGATGCGGAGTATCAACAAGATGCTTCGGAGTGTTTCAGCCTCCTATTCAATGTGATCCTGGAGCAGCTTCGTGAGTGCATTTCGATACCGAGCAGTGACCATCATCGTGCCCAGTGTAGTGAAAAGCAGAGCTGCAGTGAGGTGAATTGGCGCTGCAGTCGCCCCTGCAATGCACTAATCGAAAACGCAAGTCTAAATCAGAGAGAGTCCACCCGCAGGGTTGTATGGAGATGGGAGCTTAGCGAACGAGCTCGCTGATGCTTATCGAGGAAAGCAAGTGACTGTGATCGAATGCGAGAGCTGCGGAGCAGTCAAACGATGTCCGCAGGATTTCTACAATATGATTTTGAACGTCCGGGGTCACCGTGATGTACGTCAGTGTATAAAGGCTTTGGGTCAGGTGCGTCTTGGGCGAAGCAGTTCCTTGATCCCGTATCCGGCGCAAGGATATAAATTATTCGAATGGAATGAGGAGACCCATCATCGTTGCCATTCCGCTCGAAGAAAATGACTTTTACGCGGGTTTCTCTGCAGAAACGGAGAATCGAGGGGGATTTCACATGTGGCACATGTGCCAGCAAGAAAGGAGCTGTCACTTACGAGGAATTCACAGGGATGCCGCCTACTCTGAACCTCCAGGTAATTGAGCCGTGCTCAGAATTCGTTGGCGATGATGCCCCCAATCCCCGAAAAAGATTCCTCAAGACCTCCTTCTCCATCTGATTTAGCTGATGCGATACCGCTACGATGCGAAGAGCGGAACCAAGAAAAAAGTACAATCGGCACTCCGTTTTCCGGACCTTCTGGATCTCGGCCCGTTCCTCGAAGGTACGACGTAGCTTCTGAGGAGAGAACGCTTCCAATAAATTTATTCAAGGAGACATTCTTCAGCCACGACGACCTTACAGGATGTAGTGGCGAGAAGTTATACAAACTCCGTGCAGCATTGATCCACGTTGGTCACTCGGCGAACTCAGGACATTATATCGCCAACGTCAGAATGGGTGAGGACGGTCTCTGGTATCGACTCAACGACGAAAACGTCTCCGCGATGAAAGGGCGGCCAGACCTGAGCTCGGGGATCGATCAGGAGAGCGAGCAGAATGTCCTCCCCTCGAAAAAAAATGGTTGTGGGAGCGAAGAGCAGTCGAATGACAGCAACGGCCTCACCGAACGCTCCATCATGACTGAAGACGGGGAGCCTGTCCACGGATCAGTGGTCAATGATGACCCGCCAGATAGTGACCCGCTCCCAGATGAGATCGAAGGTAGTTCGGAAGGCAACGCTCACAAGTCGATAATTGCCCACCGTCGGGTTTTGCAGCTGAATTTGAGTCGCACAGCACATATATTTCAGATCCAGGGGTCGATTCGAAGAGCTCGTGTGCGGACATTGTGAACGGAGACGAACCGCTTAAAGGGAATCGCTGCCAAGTTCAAAAGAATTTGGCTGACAAAATTAAAAATGATGACCACACATTCACTTCTACTGGAGCCTACCTATTAGTGTACGAGAGAAAGGCGATCGAGAAAGACGTGCGAAGCGAATCATTCTCGGATGTCACCCTGCACAATTATCTCGAAAAAATCATTCAACAGGAGTCGATTGACTCCAAGAAAATGGTGGGTAGAGAGGCGAAATCGTGACTCTCGGTCACCATCGTGCTTCTCTGAAGCAGTCGGGAACGTTCTTAACAATTCAGCCGGACCGGATCGAACCGCCAATCTTTGCGCTCACGCCGTCGTATTTGACTACTTTCAGGCGGAAGAGATCCAGTCCATCCGAGCCTCGTGCACAGAGAGAGCACAGAACTTGTTGACGGACTTCAAAGCAATAATCAGGCAGCTTCCGTATGAAACTGGTGCTGAGTACCGCTTCGTGACGACGGCAAATTTGTCGAAAGTTTTGAAGGTAAAAAATCTCGGTGGAATCGGAGAATTCCCCTCTTTCCCTCGCATTTTCCATATAGATTCAAGAATGGGCAAATGTATACCACTAATCGCATCGCGGACCGCGTCTCATTCTAGAGGACAGAACGTCTCTTCAGAAGAATATGCAGCACTATAGAGCAGCCTCTGGCTCAGGGTCTCAGTCCGAAATTCAACGCACTTGAAGCTAAACCTCAAGAAAGAACTCATACGGACAGCTTCTCCTGCTCGCACGGGAAGCTCTCGCCAGAGAGTGCTGAACTCTCGAAACTCAAAGTGATCTCATCTACGGCAGCATTGCTCCTTGATGTAAGCGGTTCCTCACGGGTGACCTCATCCCGAGAGTGTTCCCCGCCCACGATACCACGGCTAATGATTCTATCCGAAATTCCAGGAATTCTGTATGAATTATGAGTTGAGCGAAGCGTGGCGACCGGTGTCTGTGGTCCCCCAGGAATTGTGTCGTGAATGTGTAGTTCAACTAGGGAAACGTATGGCGCTTAGTTTGCAGTTGCAAGTAGACAACAAAGCCTTCGTAGGATATCTGAAGAATAAGGAATGTGAAGAATCATTCTGGGTGAGTCCAAGTTGTGTAGAGAGCGATAATCCTTGTCTAGACTACGCACGCGGCTTCATCATAATCTTATCGAATGATGTCGGGTCGATGTCGTAGGTGAGCAGCAAGCATCTACAGAATTGGTTCAAAATGGCGGAAAATCAAATTATCTCCACCGTGAGAGACGCAGGCACTTGCGTCGCAGAGCTGAGGGAAACATTCAACGAGAAGTTGACGTGTGTACATGGGAACTTGGCGATAGGGGAAAAGAAGCTAATCCCGAAAGATGCTTGGAACGTGTTGAGGAGGTACTTTCCTTCGTGCATTGCCTATCCCGATACTGTCGCCGAGTGCCAACAATGTCTGTGAGTTTGAGAGTGTTTCTGTCATGTTGATCATTGAGGAACCCGTCTACCTATAACAGATCATATCCAAGCTTTTCCTATTACAAGCTCTCCTATTGAACTGGCTTGTCGATGGGTTCTTCCAGAGACGAATCACGCACAGAGAAGGAAATAGCTTCGCAGCGTGCGGGTGAGATATCAATGCTGCGCCGACGGCTGAAGGGTTTGACGAAGTTCAGGCACAGTTTTCTGCACAATGAGACAGACGCGCTAGCGATACACGTCGATCAAGCTGTGAGCATACGCAGAGTCTTGCGGGCCTCCACCAAGCCCGACTGTAATCCGACATTCTCCCCGAACGCGCTGATATGTCCACATGGCAAAACTCTCCTATCTGGGGGCGACGGCGCGTTTTCCGAATGTGTTGTTCTACTCTCTCCCGAGGAGGGCGAAGTTCTTCGGTCTAGCTTTTCCTTCGATGGATTCGTAAAAATCCGTAGGAAGGACTCGGATTTCGAAATAACACCAGGTGCTTAGACGCTTGAAATCTGAGAGAATGATCATGTATGGGATCCATCTCGAATACATCCATGCTCCGACTTCTATAATACCTGCCTTACTCTTCAGAACCTTGCGAAGTCTGCTTGGAGCTCAAATTGTTAGAAGATCAGAGGGCGTTGTCAGTTTTCAACAATGCAGCGATCCCGGTCGTGAAATTGAGCCTTGCCGAGTTGATAGCGAAACACTCGGCGTACCAGAGCTCGAACAAGAGTCTGACGGAGGGCCAGGATGATCATGGGCTTGACGATGTTGAGGTGAGGGAGTATCTCTGATCTAGTTCGCCTACGAAATGTACATGATTTGTGGCTAACACCCACAGACCTCTGTCTCCTCGTTACAGCCTCCGGTCAAGAGAGCTCGATTGGGTCGCAGAATTCCCAACGCTAAATCGGTGATTTTGACTTCCACCGATACATTTGTTGATTTGAAAGTGAAGGTAAATACATCACGGAGTAATTGGATTGTGATGAGGAGTCCTCTTTGTTGGAGGGATATTGATCGCTCGACAGCGATATTCCAGTCAATCATATCATCCGATTCATTCGACTGTTCCCCCTCGCCGTTATCACCCTATAATTCCACGACAGATCATGGCGAAACACCATATAACTCCCATTCTGCAAGTCATCCTGAATGGGGAGAAACTCCTGCGAGACGTTGACGGAGAGCATAAAATTGGGGAGCTCGGGATAAGGAAGGATTCCGTGCTGTACGTTGCTGTGAGTATTCATTCCCGGCTATGCTCAGGGAGCACGGTTGATACTGGCCCCACTCGACTCCACAAAAGGGTCATTCACCATTCAGAGATTCCTCAGGAGGACATCATCCGTGAGGAAGCGAACTCAACTGATACCAAGAAAAACATCAAAGAAGAGATAGGCTTCGGAGGTGACTTGGATTCCCGGGGCTCTGATGCTGGTGCCTCGCATTTTTACTCAATTATCCTTGGACTCTGCCTTTGATATCTCGAATACCTTTTCTTCGTCCGGTTTGCCATCCCTTCGTCGTGGCCCCTGTGGAATTAATTCTTTTGAGATCATTGCAGGTACGAAGCTTGTGGGCTAAAATCGACACTACAGACACAGAATCAAAGAGACTCGGTACGGAAATCTTCGCAGTCGGTGATCGATCATGTTCGTCTCCGAACTCCACATCAAAACGATGATGCATCGACGACGTTTCCTTTTGGAATTCCCAACGACAATAAAGGGTCCATGATTCTCATCTCCGATCTCTCCCTAGAAGTATCTGATGGAGAAGGAGGTAGGGGAGGGAGTTATTAGAGCGGCTCGCGCGAATTCCTCCTTATGACGGAGCAGCTCGGATCGCAGCGAACGATTACGCGCCATTCGGGGTTTTGTAGTGGACAGATACGATCGAATAATATAGATCTCCTCCGGCTCTGGGTGCTGGGCCATGCCAAAGTAGTCCCGGGCGAGGACTCAAAGAGAGTCTCCCGGAATCGTAAGATTCTCGACGACGCCGGCGCGGCGCCCAAAAGTCAAATATTGACAGAAAATCTGACGAATTATTTTCGCGCCATGCAATGATCTCGATTACCCGAGAAGCCGGAGCATTTCGACGTGAAAACGTCTTCAATATGTCTTTAGTAGCCGGTCAAAGAAACTTCGTCATCCATGCAGCGGGGCTGGATCTTCGTTGATAGGCATCGGATTATCACGAGGATTGGGTCAGGGGATTGCTTCACGAGACATTGTCCCGCCCAATCTTTATCCGGACTGAACAAAGAAGGAGGGTCAATCGGATGATCCCTGTCAACTCTCGAAAACCTCTGTTAAACCGCGTGAATATTCGTTTTCTAGAGTAAGGGGAGAATGGTCGGCTCAGGCAGTCGGGAGGAAGTAAGATTCTGATGTATTTTGCTGAGGACATGGACTTCAATTGACTGAAGACTCCTCGTCCGAGGAAAAATTTAGTCCGTGGGGATAACCTCCCCCCGCTTCTGTGGAGAGAAGCGCTCCGGCGATGCAGGTTCTCTCTCGGTCTACATTCAAACCGCGTATGGATTAGGTTTCCCGCACTGAGGTCTATCTTGAATCAAAGAGGGTTCCGGGATGGCCTCATCTCGCCCGTACGAAATTTCAAATGGAGGTTTCGCCGAGATTCGATGGACTATAACGACGTGTGTGGCTGAGTCATCGAAGGGTTTCACCTGATTCCGGTATCAGCCATGAGACCGAAGACAAGCACCATCACGCGACAAAAGCTGAAAGCAAGGGCAGCTGAGCTTGTAGGGAAATCAGAAACAGCTGCGAAATGGCTGAGAATGTCAACGGGAGGAGCCCGGGAAGCTCGAGCTTGTCGTCGTGGAACAGCCCACTCACGAAGGGCCAACACCGAAAATCCCGGTTCGCTGAGTCTGATTCCTGAAGGTGGCAATGTGAATGTTGTGTCCGGCTAACATGATCAGTATAGTGTCAATCGACGGTCGCTTGATGAACAGACGCTTCATGTCGGCAAGATTCGGTATATTCCATGCGACAGTATAGCGATGGTTGAAACGAGCTGAGTGGGTTTAGAAATATTGCTGCGACTTTTGATGGGGGTATCGAACATACGGGGAATGCGGTCCACGAATAAGGTGGAAGAGAGCGACACAGCAATTGGAGAATATATTCCTCGACAACGAGTTCGGGCAAAAACGCGATGCCTGAGATCGCCTTTGGTTTTTCCGGGATTTCAGAAAAGTTAATCCCAGTATGGCGATACTTCTGTGGAACCATCCCGAAAACGAGGACACCACGGTTTCCAAACTGTGCGGTAACTGTTCAGAGTGTGGAGAACATGTACTAGAATCTTACCTCTCACCAGGAGATGGTGCAAATGAGCATCAAGTATTTACGTTGAACTTCGGCCTGATCCTTGCTATTTTCCGTCATTCACGCAAGCTTCTGAGGCCTATTCCAAACGAATCACGGATTTGCTCGCAGAAAGCCACGGGAAACCGTTGTGGCCACAACGGTTTTAAGGGCGATGACTCTCGCGTCGATGTCTCCTGCGAAGTGGAGAAGTCTTGCCTCGCTCGAGGATGATCGTCGTTGGCCATATCGCCCTGAGGTTGAAGATTCGTCAGCCGATATCCCTTGAAGATCGGCGTTCACAGCCATGATAGCAGGCCTGCTCACCTCCAGGCTAGGGAGGCGATCTCGGGGATGAAGAGAGGAGCAGCGGAAACGGTGGAAACTACCTCGCAAGTCTCGCAAGCCACCCTGCAACTTCTCCCCAAATGTGTTTTGGGTCTGATGCCTCGTCAAAGCGCTGTCAAAGAATGTATGCAAAATGTGCGCAAAACCGAGATTCGGGCTCCTGAGCACCCGCTTTCCTCGAGCGATTTGACTTTTCCTTATGAGTTTTCGTACACAATTTTTTTCTTGGTTTTTGTATAATATGTACGACATCGGGAAGCTCCGCCAGAGGAAAATTTCTGCTCGCAGACAGCGGGCCGAGCTTGGACCGGATTCTGATATTCGACAAGTCTATGTCTGTGGAGTCGATGCCAGGACAACTCGATGCCGAAACAATTCAGTGCGGGACAGTTCGATGCGGGACGACTCGATGCGGGGGAAGCTCGATGCAAAGAAGGCTCGACGCGAGTCAAATCGATGCAGGGGCAAGTCGATGCGAGAGAGCTCGATGTCGGCAACTCGATGCGGAAAGGACGCTGAACGTTTCACGGTGTCTCGTGATGCCCCCAGTGGTGAACCAAGAAAGTAGACGACAAGGGTTCACAGACACAGGGAATTGTTCGATTTCGAGCCGAAGTCTTTAGAGCTCCATTTGATGTGACCGTAGTCCTCTGTCAAACCAGTATGGCAACTGCGTCGAATGCAGTTGTTTCGCAGAGAGGTAGGGAAGGACTGGTACACAAGGGCCACGTCTACATCGAAGAAAGGAGGAGCAGGGATGGATCGACTCAGTTCTGGAGGTGTCATCATGAGGGCTCTTGTAAAGCCCGTCTACTCACCTGTTCCGTCACTAATGAAGTCTTCGAGAGGGTTGGAGCTCACAGCGACGAATTGAATCTAGGAGCGATCGAAGTGGCCGGAAGGCAATGCTTGCTGAAACGCCGGGCAGTCGAGAGCCAATGCACACCGCTTCAATGTATCGAAACTACGTTTGGAGGATCCCCCCAAGCAGCTAAATCGATCTCCCGAGTTCCGAGACTTTGGCCCGAACAGTGAATCGTGCTCGGAACGCATCAAGTAAGCCCCCAGCTTTTCCCCGGAATCGAGGTGCGATTGTTTTACCAGCTGAATACACCACGAAACCGATCTAGGCCATTCCGAGTTCTTTCTACTGGGCGACTCCGGTGAGTGTCTGAAGATGAGACATCGATCATCCTCAGCTTTTCATTTGAGTTTCACGGAATCGACTGAGGATTGTTTTTCACAACTCGATTATATCGATGAATTTCTCTCCGACGGGTGAGGGAGATCACGAACGGATCTCGTAGAAAATGCGTTCCTTCCGCATCTAATTTAACCATTCGACGATGAGGGGGTCGTTCATCCACGCTTTTTCATTCACCTCCTCTTTTGGCATTAGTTTCTTTTTGAATATTAGCATCGGTTTGAGCTTCTCTCCTGCAGCTGTGACGCAGAGCACTGCGTCAGTGAGTGATGTCGCGGGGCACTGGAACTTCGTCCATATTATCCACACTTGAGGGTGGGATTTCTGACGTGGCATCCATGAAAAACTCGCGGAATGCTGCGATCTTCTCAAAGCACCATTCGGAAGTGGTTGACCCACGCCGGTCGGTCTCCGAACGCTTAGGCTGTTCCTCTTCATAAATTTGTGGACCCATTCGTTCGAGGCTTTAAAATTTTCTATGCCGGCGTTCTTCGCTGTCTCCAAGGCTTTTCTCTGAATATCGCGCACCTGAACCGCTTTGTTTGGTCATCAGCGCTCAAGGACCCTTTGTTTGATCTCAGGTCCCAGAGCCAGGAGCTTAGCTTTGCCTTTCCTGAAAGCTCTGCGTCTTTTGTCGGTCGTGGGAAGCTTCTCCTCCTTTGCGCTCCAGCGATATAGCATGCTCTTCGATATATTGAATTCAAGGAGCGTTGCTGTCATTCCAAAGTGTTTATCATGGCGTGAGACTTCCAGTTTCCGTTCTGCTGTGTAGGAGATCCTTGTCCCCTCGGCCGTCTGGTTTGAATCCATGGTATACCCTGATGGCACACAAAAACCACGTAGGATTGCAACCGGAACCTGTATTCCTTCAACTATTTCGGCCGCGAGAATCGACGGAATTATTGGAGAATCCGCGGTTTGTCACTTGATCTGCGCATGCTCAGATTCTCAATAAATACCATGATCTCCTGTGTAGATCAGCCAATCTTAATAGAACCTCGTTATCTAAAGTATTACTCGGCTTGGCTCTCGAGCTGTGACTCAGATCGCAAGACTTCCGAACGCACACTTTCCAACAGTCGGAATCAGCTCTCGGAGGGAAAGTCGGTTTGCCAGAGTAGAGACAGCTGATGAAGGAAAGGCCGCAACGGAGAAACAGCTGATACAGGAGAGGCTGCAACGGAGAAAAAGCTGATAGAGCAGAGGCTGACAAGCAGCGGGATAGCCAGCATTGCGCCCATAGTAGCTTATATGTTAGGAGCAGTGTTGGGCAGACATGCGTATGATTATGACTATAATCATACGAGGAAATGCTGGAAGAAGACAGATTCTACTCAAACCTCCGGAACGAGTGCTATTCGAGATACTCGGAGGCCCGCTGCCGAGAAGGCGTCTGCCCATCGACCAGTGAATTCCGGCCAGAGCTGTGCGCCGCGCCGCCGAGCTCTGAGCTCCGCCGCCGCCGCCGAGCTCTGAGCACGGCGTCCTGCGGCGGGAGGGCGCGCCGTCATGATCCCCATGGTAGATAGTCAAGAAACCTTCCGAAAGATTTCGGGAGACTTTCGGAGCAAATCGAGGGAATACAGAAGAAAATGTTCATCAAAGTCAAAGGAAGAGAACCTGGGCCGAGCTCGATGCGCTCGCTTGATGATGAGAATCGCAGACGACACCTTATCTCTTCCGAGAATCGAGACGATTCATAAGTTTTTCTGTCAACTCCTCGCCGCACATCGAGAGACGAAATTGGAATGACGAGCCTGCCCTCTTGTCGTCTCATACCTGATAATCGAGAGTTCTTGCAGAATAAGTGGCTTAAGAATGAATGAACCTAACTTGTGCTCGCTCTTCGATTCCTACTTTCGCCATTCCGAAGCTTACTCCCTCTTTGGTGCCCTAGCTCGCTCCTACTTTCCTCATGGAGCTCGCTCCGGGTAAGAGAAAACCGCGGCGCGCCGTGAGTCTCAAGTCCGCTGAAAAACGCCGCGGCGTCCGCCGCCGCCGCCGCCTCTTTCTTCGCCTGTCGCCGCCGCCGGGAAAAATCAGATGGCGCACAGCTCTGATTCCGGCGTTCAAGATTCAGAGGGGGTCTGAACCCTACCCGCTGAAATGCTCCCCAAAGAATTGAGCCTCCGTTTTTTCTCTGACAAAGTTTGATTTATTGAATTCGAGCTGATTCGATGAACAGTGCGGCCATCACGCTGGGGCTAAGAGCCTGTGTCTTCTATTCCTCATCTGCGTATTGATCGTCCTCATCGTCTGAGGCCAACATGTCATCTATGTTGGGATTGTCACATTCTTCCAACTCGCGCAAAAACTCCTCCTCTCCCTGATCCACGATCTCCTTGAAGACGATGCGCAAACCTCTCGCCGGAGCCGGTCTGAGATCTGGTTCCGATGGCTCCGGAATAGACGCTTCCGCAAGGGGAACGTTGGTGCAGGCATTTTCGGTGATGATTTCCTCCGGCTCACTCGGGGTCGGAAGGTCTTTTCTCTCGATGATATCTCCGTTCAATCGATGGAATTGATTGAAGTCCGCGAAGTAATCTCTCCAAGAAAGCGATAAA